CACACAAATTATTTCCTCTTATGTCCTAATTTTGGGTTAGGTCTATCAATGGGTAGGAATGGCTCTATCTTAGGGCTGGCCTCTTAAATGCAGATTATATGCTGGGTTAAGTGATTTTGACTACTAAAGGTTTCCAAATTGTTCCTTACATCATTGTCCGTCACAGATTAGTAATGCATTCCAATCCTCGCCCATCACAGGTTACCAACGAAAAGATTCAATTTGAGTGAGAGTATTTTGCTAGCCATTACGAAGATTATTATCTCATGAGAGTGTTGGTACTTTACTCCTTCCTAAGAAGGACGAAGCCTGGTATAGAGCTCAAGTAATGCAAATACAGGTGATAGTGTGTGTGAAAGAACATATAAGTTTCATACCCCAAAAATAAAAGATAAAAAAGGTAAAAACGTTAGTAAACAGATAATACAAATCATTTCAATTTAAAACCATTAGACCAAAAATAGGATAATATCAAAATGTTATGGCCTGACTCTCTATAACATCCCCAGCGAAGTTGTCAAACTATCATAATATATAGATCCGTAAATCTATAACTAGACTTAACAAATGGATTCACCACCAATCTTTTTTACTATGTGTGATTGGCTACCTAAGGAATCTATCCTTTTAGGGAGCTGCTAAGCTTGATCAAGGGTCCTTAGAAAAATAGGTTCGAGTCTACAAACCAGAATAGGGTTCGAAAGTTCAGTTACAAATGGGCAAGGTTATAGCACTCCCGCATGGCCATCTAAATGATGGTATCATTTATTTTAAATTTATCCTAAAGTCTCGATTCTAATAGTTTTAATTTTTATATTGAATATTAGAAATAACTTTTAAAACTCTTCATCAATGTGGTAAAACTCTTAAAAATATTTTCTCACCTCAAGAGTATTCAAGGATCCCATTTGTTTTCTTGAAGAGGCACTGTCATCGAAAAATTATTTTTTATTAAAAATATATCTAATTATTCTACTATTTATGCCAAATTAGAAATATTTTCTCTTTTGAATTTCTAAATTCTCTATCATTTGGGCCTATTTAAAAATTCTTTTTTATTTCTTTTTTTATTTTTAAATTTTCCACCATTTAGGTCAATTTAGAAATTTTTTTTATTTTTTGGTAAGAAAATAATAGGACAATTTTTTTATTTGAAATTTTGTTTAAATTCTTCCACCATTTGGGACAAATTTAAAGAAATTTCTCACCTAGATATTTCTTAAAAAATTTACTATTTGAAATTTCTGAAATCTCATCATTGGATAATTGTCAAATATTTTCAATTAAAAAAATTTATTTTTTCATTTTTTTGTTTGAAAATAGATATTAATTATTGTTATTGAAATTTTATCTAAATTATTCCACAATTTGGGACAAATTTAGAGAAAATTTCTCACCAAAGAATTTTTATAGAAATTTACCATTTGAAATTTCTAAAAATTTCATCATTAGATAATTAGTGTTTATTCTAAAAAAATATTTTTTTTTATTTTTTATTCTTTTTCTAAATTTAATCATGCAAAAATACTAAAAAAACAAACACATAAATAAAAATAAATACAAAATACATAAAAAAAAACCAAAAGCATGAAACGACTTAACTGGAGGGTTCGGCGCGGCTTGGCTCCAGGCATAGAAAACGGCTTAACGACTCGACTCAGAAGCTTAGCTCAACTCAGAAGCATGGCTCAGCTCGACTAGGCTCTGTTGAAAGGGTTTGGTTGATATGCGGGTCAACGATCGGGTTGCGATAGGGTCGAATTGCCCGAATAAAAAACGTGCGGATCCTGGGGTTCTTTAAGGCGAAAACGACGTCATTTTGGAACTGATATAAAAGGTTTGTTTTTGACATTTTTCTTAGATTTCTCTTTCCCCTTATTTCTCTTCCTCTTTCTTTTCACTCCCCCTCTCTCTAACCCAGATAAACTCTAGTTGAATCCTTCATCAAATTTTGGAAATTTCATCGAAATCTGGATTGGTTAGCCAAAAGTTTACCAAAAAATTCTATCGGTGCCGGAATCTTCAATCGAATTTTGAGAAACTTGTTGAAAAATTCAACCAATGCCGAAAAACTCGTGAAAAAATTCAACTGATGTTGAAAAATTCACCGAAAATTGAAAATTTTTTATTTTTTTTTTAGCCTAAAAATTTTCCTATGAATTTTTGAATGCCTTCGTGAGTGTTTCTTCACTCTGATTTCTATATTCAACCTTCTATGTGTTTCTGCCTAATCTATTATTGTCCTTTACTTGATCAGTGTGTCAATTTATAGGAAAAATTAAAGGAATTCCCATTCGATTATGAGTCTACCTTGGATAAGATCATCATAAAACAAATTCAATCCATATACAATTCCACCATCCCAATCACGGCCAAATTTACTTATTATTTTTTTTTTACCTTTTTTATTTATTATTATCACCTAATTTAATGATACAAACCTAAAGATAAATCAATTAATCGAAAAATCAAAGATAAACCATAAAACAAATCACTAAATAATCAAAATAGATAAATAAATAAAACTAAAAAAGTAAAATAAGGATAAATAAATAAATAATAAATGAAAAACAAATAATAATAAAAAAATATACTTGGGCCTGACAACCTGGACCCTATTGAGTCAGGCCCAATGGGCTTGGGCTCGGATCAATTAAGGTGTCTTCATTACTTTAACAAGCATTATTAATATTAAAATTCAAAATCTCTTTCTATTAAAGAAACCAATTAATTATTGAACTAACTTGATTTTGCAAATTTATTTTTTTTTAAATTCATGCTTTCTTTATACATAACAATGATTAATAAAGAATTTAAAATTTAACTCAGTTGGTTCATATAATTACTTTTTAAAAAATAACTTCTAATAAATCTAAAATTTAAATCTCAATACTTGCAACTCTTTTTTTTCTTAATTTTTAGACTACGACTTCCTTTATATAAAAAAGAAACAATGGTTGACGAAAAAACAATCTCTTCCCCACAAAACTAGGATAGTGTTAGGATTGATGTTATACTAGAAAACTAGCTTACTACTTGTACTATATATGAATTATCTTTATTTATTTAAATGTGTGTAAAAATATAAATTAATTCTATTTTATCACTTATATATTTTAAAAAATATAATACATATATTATAATTAAGACATCAAATCATAATAAATTGATTATGATTAAAATATATATATAATAAGTGATATTTGTATTTTTGAATTAAAAAAAAAGATAAAGGATTATAAAAAAAGTAACCAAAGTAAAAATATCCATTTAAAAATTTTAAATTTAAAAAGAAATATCCCTAGGTAAAATTTTAATCATAAGATTAATTTTTTTAAGTTTTAGATTTTATTACAACTTATTGAGATTTTTTTTATTTTAAAAAAAATCATAGAGAATTAATTATAGATAATTTGGGTAAGATTTTTTTTTTAAATATTGATATTTGAATTTAAATCATGTATAATAGGCATTATCCATGTGTCAAAAAAAGAAGATGCCCAACTAAACGTTCACGTGACAAACTTTATTAGGTATCCTTGTATGTTGAAATATAAAATATATATAATTTAAATTTAAATAATTATTTAAAATATTAAATTTAACTAATTTATTAAAGAAATTTATTTTTAAATAAAATAATATAAACATTATCTTATGTGTCATTAAACGAGACTATCCACCTAGGCATCTACATACGTAATTTTTATCTTGTAATCTTGTATGTTGTGTGTGTCTATATATATATATATATATATATATATTAGATTTACCTAGCTTGGCTTGGTTAGAATTTAATTAGAACTTTATTGATGCATAAACAAAAAAAAAAAAAGAAACTTAATTTTGTATTATATATACAAAACCGATAACTCATAATTTTACAACATATTAGAACATAAAAAAATAAAACTAAAATATAATTATTTGGATTTTATTCTTGGATATTTATATTATTTAACAGATATGTTAAATTTAAATAACACTAATCACTAAGTACAATAATTCATAATTAATTAAGTTCACAGATATCATAAATTCATAAATGGCTAAGTTCTTGAATAGTTAGATACATGCAATTTGGGTTTTCGATTTATACTACTTCATTGTAGAAATGAATCTGAACTCAAAATATTAAATTTAAGTGACACTAAATACAAAGCACATTCATACATAATTAATTTGGTTCATGAGTATCATTAATTTATGAATGACTAAAGTTCATGAATAATTAAAGTCATGTAATTTAAAATAACAATAAGAATAATAGTGAATAATACCCATGAAACTAATTAATTATAAACCCTACACTTTGTCTTATAACTCATTTAGTTCAACCCAATCAAAATCCCGCAATTAAAGATATATGTTAGTCAATTAAACATCTAAATTGACCAAATCTCATCTAATTTCTCTTGAACCCAAAATAATAATAGGTATAGATTTAAGACAATAAATGAAATTTATCATTCATTTTTAAATAGATGTAATTTTCTTGTTATACTTTCTAGATTAAAAAAAGTCAAAAATAAAAATATTCTATAAAATATTCTTTTTTACTTTCTTAATGAAAATTTCTTTACTTTTAATTTTTAATTAAAGGTGTTCATAAATAAAAATGAATCGAGCCAATTTCAGTTGACACTTAACACCTTTAAAACCCAAGCTAGGACTTTGTTTGTGCTTTTAAGTTAGGATTATTATTCAAATATCGAAAAATATTCTTATACTTTTAAATCCTAAAACGTTTTTTATATTATATAAAACATTTTTGGGCTGAACTCGTGCCTGGTACATTAGATCCGGGGTTGAGCTTTTGTTTTCTAAAAATAATATTCTCAGGATGATGCCTTTCATCAATCCCCACAAAACATGACATCAAACCACAAACTCATTAAGTCATAGATATAATAGTTAATAGAAAATATTTTCCTTATAATTAATTTGAACAAGATAAAAAAAAATGAATTGAAAATCCAAGATGAAAAATTTTGCACACATATTCATTTAACTACTTGAGTTCAATTTTTGTGTTTTTGAAACATAAGGAACTCGGTTATGAATTACACAAATTCACAAATAACTTTCTCATATTGAATAACCACACAAATTTAATTTTATTATAACTCAATAGGTTCAAAATAAAATATTGAAAATATAAATGTCCGATGCAGAGGAATTGGAATAGTTGTAATAATTGTGCATGTGAAATATTTCACTGCATGGCACAATCACTAGTTGTGCCCTTACTACTTCCAGCTATCAGTGTTTTCTCGATTGCTTTAAGCTTCGCCTTCATCCTCTCACGTTTTCCCTGAAGGTATTAATTAATTTAGAAATAGTTATTACTTCATAAAGAAATTTGGCTTTGTTTGAAAAACTTAAAAATTAATTGCTGAAAAGTTTAAAATTTTAATTTTTAAACATGGAACACTCACTAACCTTATTTGAGACAGCTGCCCCTTTTAATGCATCTTTCCTCTTCAGTTCAAGCAAAGTGAAGTTATCCACAAATTGATGGCGATGAGACTGAGAGCCGGTTATATATTTCTTACCCTGGAAACATTGAAAGCAAAGGCGGTAATTCTCGTTGGAGCTGTGGAAGCATTTGGTGCAACAAAAGTAGGTATCCTTGATAAATTGGTTACAAGCATCGCAAAATGGCCTTCCACTTCGAATTATATAGTAAAGAGTCATGACGTCCATGAACTCCAGGGTCTCACTGTTTCCTCTGCAAAGCTGCTTAAACAAATCCGAACTCCTCAATTCTTGATATTGTTCTTCCCTCATGAAGTCCAGAAATTCTTGGAGGCTCACTTTGCCATCTAAATTGCTATCCATTTCGTTGAAAAAATTTTGCGCCTCCTTCTGCATATCAAGGGAGGCAGCATCCAAATAGGCTTTTGCAATTTCGCGCAATTCCTCCATCGACAAATGGATAAATTTCAAATTAATTGAAAAATATAACTATTTATTTGATAATAATAAAATTTCATCTGTCAATATATATATATATATATATATATACATATATATATTGCTAAAGCAGATGAATAAATTAACTATTGTGCTCATCCTAAAAAGTCAAGAAAGCAGACAGATATCTCATTCTAGACCAATAAGTTGTTGCAATTTTGTGAAAGTCATGGCTAATAGACTAAGTCATGGCAAAAGTCAAAATCAGAGTACATTTACGGAGAGAAGAGACAGATTCAAGTCGGCATATTGATGGCCAATGAGACATTTCATTACCTTAAGCTAAAAACGAAGGAAAGAAAATATGAAATGGCATTAAAGGTGGATATTATTGAGTGGAATTTTATGACATCAGTAACGAGGAAGATGGTTTCAATGACAAATGGATTGGGTCAATAATGGAGTACATCTCTTTGTCTCCTAGAACATAATTGTCAATGGTAAGAAATCTAGCATAAATTTTTTCGCTAGAAGTTTTAGGCATAATTGTCAATGATAAAAAATTGAAAGGGATATATTTTTAAATTTTAATAAAAATTATATATAAATTTGATAAAAATATTTAAAAATGTGTTTTGCATTATGCGTTTAGAAAAGGATTTCCAAGTAAAAAAATTTTCATTTAAAGATTTCTTTTTGTAATTTGCTCTTTAATTAGAGCGGTACCTTTAAATTATATTATATTAAATAATAATTATTTATTTAAATATTTTTATTTCTTATATGTTTTAGTATTTACATATATTGATATTAATATAATTATATTAAATATGAAAAATAAATATATGAAAATTAATTACTTACAAATTACATATGTAACACAATCTTTAAGAAATTAATCTACAATTTTAGGCAACTTTGTAAAAAAAAAAAAATATTATTCAATTAATTATTTTAGTTATTTTTTTTTTGTTGCTTACTCTTTAAAATAATTTTAAAATATATTTCTTATTTTTATTTAATTTTATATGCATAAATTTCTCAAGTAAATTATAGAGCATTTAGTTTGTTGAATATTTACGTGAGTGTAGAAAACAATAAATATCCAATAATGACAGCCATTGGAAGATGTTCACATCATAAATGTTGCTCTGATCAAGTCTCAAACCCATTTGCAAGGTTGCTTCCAGCTTGAAGACCCTACTACACTGCAATCAATGAAATTTACTTATCAACTTCTCATTAGTTGATAGAACGATTAATTTTAATAATAAGTTTATTTCCTTATCACTCAGAGAATTAAGAAGCTGAAGGGAAACAATGGCTGTAGGCAGCATGGTCAATTGATCGATTCTTCAGTAATAAATAGTACGTGTGGACGTTTTCCACAATATGGACTGGTTTTAATATACTGATTTTTTTTAACCAACTTGTCGCTTTCCTTCTTTGAAATATGTGTTTAACGACTTGCTTAGATTCGTTTGGCAGACACTTTTTTTCTTTACTATTTGTTTTTGGCTTTTTATTTAAGTTTTATTTTTTTTTCTTTTTCATTTATTTATTTTTTTTGTAAAAAGAAAAAAAAAATAGAAGTGCTTATCGAATGGAACCTTCATTTTTAAACGAAATTAATTTTTGGTTTCAGAATATATAAAGCTTGTGGTAAGATCTGATTCATGGATATCTCTACTCATAATTTTTCTTGATTTTTATAAAACGTTATTTTTTCTATACAAACATATATATATACATACAAATATATATATGTATATGTATATGTATACGTATATGTATTTATATAATAATTGTTAGTTAAGAACAAATTGAGTACTTCTGATTGTAACATTTAAACTAATTCCTATGTTGAAACATTAATTCATAGGTGAATGAGCTAATTTATGACTTGAATTAGTTATAAAATTCAATGAAATTGAAGTAAGATCGATGGAATTATAGATGATGTAAATGAATTTATCAACATAAATTTTTATGTTTAGATTATATTAGTTATCATTGTTTTGAAATATGAACTGTATACTACAATATATTAGCTATAACACCATGATAATTACTGGCCAAAAAAAAAAAAAAAAACCACCATGTCAATTATCAGCAATAATTCAAACTTAAATTACAAGTTAAAAAAAAATATAATCTTGACTTCTTCAAACTGCTTACCATGCACGAAACATGTCCTGTGATTTCCACATCCCAAGAGGACAAATTTTGGTTTTTTTTTTTGGGAAAGAACAAAGAAAGAATTGACTAACCAATATATAGTATTTAAATCTTGTCGGTAGACTCATGAGATTAGCCCTTACGCATAGCTTAAACCCAAGTTTTTTTTCCGTACTCTAATATATCAAAAGAGAATTCAAACGTTTTTTTTTAATTTACTTTTGTATCTATTTTCTTAAGTAAATTGTATTGCATCTACTTGTTTGATCATTTATAAGTCCAAGTGTTGATAGATCAGACTGAACCAATCTTGATTGACACTTTCCTGGTTTTGTTTAAAGTTTAGCTCGATTAAATTTAACTCAGTTTACTCCTTCGAATTTGTGAGGTACGTTGATTAATCAAAACTATATTAAAATATTAAAATTATTAATAAAATAATAATTCAAGTTAACTTTAAAATTTTGTTCATGGTCCATTATCGTCAGGCTCAATTCGTGAGTTTAAATGAGTAGCTCAATTCATGATAAATCTATTTATGATTATAAATAACAATGAAGTCTGATAATGATCTAGATTTCTAAGATTAAAATAGTCGTTTCCGTTAACGGGCAAATTGCAAAATCATTTTGATCATGCATTTGACTCCTGACTATTAGGATCATGACATTTTTTATATCAATTGTTAAGCAAAAAAGCCTCCAATCCAACTAAACATCCAGCCCAGCAAAAACAAAATTAAATAATCAATCGATTACATAAGAGACAACAATTTAACGTAATTTAACCTATCAACCTTTGTCTACGGATAAAAAAAAAAAAAACTAGTTGTAAAAAATTATAATATACAAATCATCAATATTTAATCCCAAATAATACTCATGGAACATTTCATTCTTTTCTAGTTCTATGAAGTATTTTCAACCAAAATAAATAAATACTCATGTGACTGACCATACCTATGTAGACCGTCTCATTCTTTTCTAGTTCATTCAAACATTCACACCTATAAGGACTTTTTCAATCTCCTCTAGTTTTATGTGGTGTCTATCTCATAAAATCTTACAACTTTCTTACATCTTTTTCTCATACTTAACTTTATGGAGACTCTACCTATTTATAAGTACACAAACTTACCTTTAAAGAATCATTTTCTTATTAAAATTCTTCTTTTATAAGTTTTTTTATCTATCAAGCAATATCTAGCCAATCCTATTTCGAATAAATCTTTATCCAAATCTCTTATGGTATTTAAGTCAATCCCAATAATCTCAACCTTGATTCAAATTCCATCAATAATCAATTTTCATGTTATACATGCTTGGCTTCACCTTTAATGGAAGTCTTGTAACAATTTTCTCTATGTGTCTCCAAACTTCATACAAACCGATCTATCAAAACATGAACTCAAACTCCTTCTTTAAATCGAGCTCCTCTGAACTTGTCTTTTCTCATATCTCAAATCTACGTTCTAATATTAGTTGTTAGGATCATGACAGTTTTGATACCAGTTGTTAGGGAAAAAAACCTCCAATCCAATTAAACATCCAAGCCAATGAAAATAAAATCAAACAATTAATCAATCATACAAGAGGTGACAATTTAATATGGTTTAACCGAACTTATCTACATCCATGGATGAAAAAAAAATTCATTAGTCATAGAGAATTACAACATTCAAATCATCAACAATCAATACCAAACAATACTCATAGATCCTTTGATTCTTCTCTAGTCCTATGAAGTATTTTTTAACTTAAACAAGCATGTATTTATGTGATTCACCATACCTATGTAAACCATTTCATTCTCCTTTAGTCCACTTAAACATACACACCCATAAGGACTTTCTCATTCTCCTTTAATCCTATGAGGTGTTTATCCCATAAAACTCTAAAACTCTCATACATATTTTTCTCACACCTCCCTACAAAGACTTCATTTATTTATAACAATACAAACTTTTCTATCAAGAAACTCTTTTCTATTAAAATTCTTCTTTTTCAAGTCTTTTTATCCATCAAGTAATATTTAACCAATCATATCTCAAATATATGTTTATCCAAATCTCTTATGAGATTTGAGTCAATCCCAACACTAATTTAAGCATAATTAAAAGAAATGGAAAATGTTTTTGTAATAAATGTTGCTCTCAAGTCTTACTCAGAATTGCTAATGTAGCTTTAAGCTTGAAAAACCTAGCTACCCAACTACAATAAATAAAAATTTTACTTAGGATCTTTTCATCTAGACATTGAATACAATTTTTTGTAAGATTATTGAAGGTGTTTAAGTGTTGGTAGAAGGAAAGGTAACTTGAAGATTATATGAAGAGTGATATGAACTTATGATAAAAAAAGTATAGTTAAATGGCACCGAAGTTGATTTTTCGAGATGCATTTGATGCTCAAGTCAATAAAATACTTAAGGTTTAGGTAAAGAAAAAACTAAACTATAAAGAGTATTCAATAAGCTTAAAAGGGAATTATTTTTAGTTTATACCTCATATGGGCTTTCTTTTTACCTTATATATGAGAGGAAGGACAATAACATGACTAAAGCAGTTGACAATTGATAGTAAGTCCATGTGAAGCTTGAGGAAGGGTCATGTGGGTAAATGTAAGCTGCATTTAATGATTTTAAGCCAGCATGAATTGCATTTAATTATTCCAGGCAAGTTAAAGCCCATTAGTCTGTTGTGAAGTGGTCTTAATAAGACATTAGTGGAGGTAGTTGGGCAAGTCTCTTCTTAGCATGTGCAAGACTATTTTATTGTGAGGAGTTCAGATGTCGACCCTCTTTTGTGGTGATGTGGTAGTCGAGCGTGTATTGACATGGCAATTATGAGAATTGATCTTGTTAATTGAGTAG